TAATAATTGTCAGATTATAATAATAATATATATATTATTATAATATTATATATGATTATATATTATAATAATCCTACGAAGTCAAAAATACAAGGTGCCGTTTAATTATAATTTATAATTATATAATAATAATTAATTTAATTATAATAATATGATATATTATTATATATATAATAATAATAATAATAATAATAATATATGTATATTATTATATATATATAATATATATAATAAAATTATAATATGAGCGTTATGCATCTCTGACAATACATCTCATACGTCTGTACATCTCTGATACGGACCAATTTTACACGACTCGAGTTGTGACGCGCGATGCTACCGAATGCTAACTGTTGCCATTGTTATTGCAGAAAATAGGGGAAAAAACGAGTCGGACAGGATATTAATTTTATCTGTGCGCATGGATGTATTCTCGTTCTCACCGTATTACGAGATTATGTACGCTGTCCAGGTACTGCTATTCAATCGTGTATAAGACGTAGCTCATTGATATTTAACGTTGAAAATTTGAAGAACAATTTAAATGCTATTACCCTATGTTGAAAATATTTCTACAAGACTCGACATTGGATTGTACGATTTTCGATATTCCGAGAATTGCCAATTATGCGGAGGCTGGTTAAAAATCTGCCAGCTCTCTTCGTTCCGCAGGATTAACCCTTTCGGTACGAGCGCGTTGTCCGCCGTGACACTCCCACTGTACGGGGTGCCGCGCCGAAAATGAGCACATAACGCAGGGTCAAGTCCACTTTTGTACGAGGATTTTCTTAAGCGTTAAGTAATGACTGTGCTTAATCCGTTTCTAAATCTTCTGTTTCCTGTAAACATTCTGTAAAGGGTCTACAATATGTTCAAATCTATGAACAAGTTTCGAAGAAAAATGTAACCTGAAATTTTTGAAATCAATTCAGATCGAACGACAATTATACCTGTAGCTGTCTTTTCGGAATCCTTGTAAGAGAAGACATCATCCATTTGAGTCCCAGGGATTATTCAGAAAACACGGTCGAAAAATGCCAAACAGCATGACAGCGCTGCTTGGGACTCAAACGGTTATTAGAATAGTTTCTAACATGTCAGAAATATGGCTTACATGGATGCCAGGTGTATTCGGCACTCGTCCATATTGGTCATCAGATGGATGCCGGATATATCCGGCGCTCGTACCGAAAGGGTTAATAATTATACCGCGGATCTGATTTCTGTTTTGGGCTCTGTTTCAGTACAGGCTGTTTGCGTGCTCAAAGTTGGCGTGATCTACCATAGCTACGATAATTTTCTGTACATCATGAATCTGCACGTAACCACGCAATTTCGTATTTTGCATCGCAGGCTCGAGAGCTTGGCGAGCGATTATTTTTCGGGAACAGTCGTTCGGATCGCTTCAGATTCGGCTTCGAATGGACCGCACGACGGCGAGGAATGTTACGCCACGTTCAGGAAGTATATTCAACATCATCAATCTCTTCTCGCGTACTGCAAGAAGCTTAACAAAGTGTTCAATGTTTACGCATTAGGACAGGTTATATTGTTTACGCTGATATTGTGTTTCGACGCGTATCAAGTACTAATGGTTAGTGCAGTAAAATATATACATATACATATATATATATATTATATTAATTATATTAATTAAGTAATATTATATTATATAATATTATATGTTACAATATTATAATATATTATAATATAATTAATATTATATTATATAATATTATATTAATATATATATGTTATAATTTTTAAGTTCGAGCAACTGATAGACGCGACTCACGGCTTTACAGGCAGGCGCGCCAGCCTCGAAGAAAGTAACTTTTGTCTTTCACATGCTCGGCTGTCTCGCGCAATTGTTTATGTTCACCTACTGCTGCGACGGTTTGATCCAAGAGAGCGAGAACGTGGCTGCGTCGGCGTACACGGTTCCGTGGATGAATTTGCCAATGAACAGACCTGGAAAGCTGATGCGAGACGACTTGAAGTTTATCCTCCTGAAGTCTACCGTACCTTGTCACATCACCGCCTACAAATTCTTCCCCGTTTCGCTCGAGACTTATACTAAGGTATTCGACGTGATGTACGGCAGTAAAGCCTCCCTAATTGTTAGTGTAGTAAAAAATATATATATATAAATATAAATATATAAATATAAATATATATATATTAGGGAGGCTTTACCGTCGTACATCGCGTCGAATTATTATTTATTATTTAAAAATTATAACATTGAAAAATTTAAAAGGTTAGAAAAAAGGTTATGTTATAATTTTTAAATAATAAATAATAATACTAATCCTGTTTCTTGCAGGTACTAAGTACCGGAGTGTCATATTTCACTCTGTTGAAGCAGACCACTGAATCCAACGCGTGAACGTGCTTCGTTCTTACTGCGTAAAATACAGACATTGTTTTACGAACGTTATCTAGATGCATTGGAATCTGAAGAGAAGAGTGATAGTTCAAACACAAATGAAAGAGTATATTATAGTTACGAAGTACTCTGCTTTGTGATCATAGCGAAATAGTATCACCAGTGAAAGATGATGTATTTACATGCTTTTCACTTTTGAAATATCTACAGAAAATTCTTCGTAGGAAATAAATGTTTGTACATACTGTTTGAGAATTCGTATCGTCTCCGATCTCTCTGCGCCGCGCCGTCTTTGGTTTCGACCTTGCGTGACGGCTGCGCGCTGTGTATACGGACAGCCAACATTTACTTTATCAACGACTACCATTCGCTTCGGTCGCGCGCGCTCTCTCTCTCTCTCCCTCCCTCTCAGTCAATTAAACTCGTTTCTGCGAAACATCTAAACCGTCACTTTTCTATTTGCCTCCATCGTCGATGCGTCGCACGCTGAGCCCAGCGCTGAGCTGACCGGTGTCTCACGTTCGAAAACTTTTGGGCCAGTGGCTCTCTCGACACATATGTATAGTAGTAGTAAAATGATTGTTTC